GTGTGTTTGGGAACGACTGGAGAGCATAGGATTGCCTCCAGCAGTGGTGCGCACTATTCAGTATGCCAGAGCTCAGTCAACAATGGCGTCTTAAGTTGCACAGTTTTTCAGCGATGGTGCATGGAGAAAGGCACAGCTCCCACCTCCTGCCTGGTGGCTGAGGTGCTGACGTTTTCTACAGACCCTGGTTGAATGAAACCTGGTTCCGTCTACCGCTAAAGTGTATGCTGCCGCCATCTCATCATGCCATGAAGGTCTTGGCGACAGAACCATATTTGCACACACACTGGTAAAACGTTTACTCAGGGGTGTGGGCAGACTGAGACCTGTGAGGCGCACAACGGTGCCACAGTGGAATCTGCCTCTGGTCTTACGCGCGCTCAACGGGCCTCCTTTTGAGCCCATGGCACACATCTCTCTCAAACATCTCTCCCTGAAAACGCCGCTCCTCCTAGCCTTGACATTGGCTAAGCGCGTGGGCGATCTGTGTGCACTGTCTGTCTCACTGGCGTGCCTCCTTATCCGCGGAGATGGTAGCATGGCCATTCTCAGACCGAACCCCGCGAATTCCACCAAAAATTATCTCATCCTCTTACCAATCCAGAGTTATTTCTCTGGATGGGCTCTTCCCTCCTCCTCACAGAGACGAGGCAGAGAGGAACCTCCATGCCCTCTGCCCAGTGCGCGCTTTGTCCCATTACATGGGGCGCACGGCTGCTGTCAGGCAGACACAACAGCTGTTTGTGCATTACAGGAGCCGCTTTCTTGGGCAGCCTTTAACAAAACAACGGCTGTCTCACTGGCTGTGTGAAGCTATTACACAGGCTTACATATCAGCCGGGAGCGACCCCGCGCCTGGCATCAGAGCCCATTCTATGCGAGCCATCACGTCTTCCACTTCCCTTCTTAGAGGCATGGCTGTGGAAGATATCTGCACAGCAGCCTCCTGGGCTTCCCCTTGTCCCTTCACCCATTTTTACCTCCGGGATACATCCGAGTTCTCACTGGCTCATTCGGTCCTGAGTGTCACGTGTGACGGTGAGCCCCTTCCCCATCGTTTCACGTGGATGCGCCACCACCACTGAGCGCTGACCCTGGGTCACTCGCTCAGGCGGCAAAATGAACAGCCACACTCCAACTGGTCTGGGACCGGTCCGCCCCGTCCTGCCCTGCACTTTGAACAGGCCTACTTGTTGAATTTTATCAGAAATTACCTGTAGGGGGCGGTAGCAGACCACTTTTATAACTAGCACTCCAGCAACAAAGCTCATCCAACTACATTACCTGACCACTCTCAGCAAAGATAGTTAATTAAAAAAATAAGTACAAATTTACTTTTTTCAGCTATTATGGACAAGATCTTTATCATAAATTCTTTGCAGATTTTACAAATGGGGCTAAAAGCTGGGGTACTTAACTTTTATAAAACTCACTGACATATTTTCTGAGATTCTGATATTTGCTGAAACTGATATATCTTGCACTAACACATAACACTGATATACTGGGAAAACATCAGTGTCCTCTAGCTCCTCGTACCTGTAAATCCATGTGAAAAAAATCCACCACTCCCGACTGTGCAACACCAATCGAAGCCAGGAGGTGGTGCAACCCACTGTCAGTCATGTCATCCACACAGCTAAAAGAATAAACATGAGTTGAAATGGACTGCTGTAGATCAGTCCATTGAAAATCAGAGGGCCTTTTTCTTGTCTTATAACCCTAATTTGATATCTGGATATAACAGTGTTATTTAGAGGCTGAAACAATCTGTGTACTGTATTTTTACAGTTACCATTCTTTGGCTACAGCATCAACATACAGGAAATGGCCCCACAGCTTTTGACACAGTAACGATAATTCTTTCACAAAGTAGCTGAAGATCTGTATATATTCTTATCTTTTCAGTATGTCATCATTAAACATTGATGAGCACAGCTTAAGCTCTCCAGTCTATGAAGTGGAAGTGCAGTTTGTAAACAGTGAGGGAGGCCAAACAGTACAGTTACATGCCTGAACTTGAGATAACAAGAAGGGCACGGGTGTCTTCAGGGTAAGATTTGCCACAACATACAAGGCCAGACAATCTACATCAGCACGGAGTGCTGTCATTGTACCTGCTCCAGCCATGGGGACAGGGTAAGGCATTGTTTACCCACTTGAGAAAACATCAGTATTGTTAGTGGTTTATTTTTGCCTGTAGGGTCAGGTTTGATCAAACTTTCACAGCTACTGTACGTTCTGGCTTCTCACTTTTTCCAGGAATTTAGAAAAGATAACATGTATTTAGAAACAACCTAGAACAGATCTGTAAAAACCCAAATTACAGGTTTAAATATGAATATTTTCAAAAATGTAGTTTGCTCATGAATCTAATACTTTTGTTTTTTCAGAGGCTGGGCATTGCCACAGAGATAGAGGCCGGACTCTGCATCATCAAATGAAGCATCTATCACACCATCCAGCACAATATAAACTTTTTCTAAACAGCAAAGCTTTTCAATCATACTTTTTTTTTCCCTTAGGCCAAATAAAGTCTGCAAACATCTATGTTGTCTCCAAAAACATCTAAAAGGTCTCAAAAAAGAGATCTCTGTATTCTTTGAAATTAGTCTGAAGTGTGGAAATATAATGAAATAGTGGAGAGTGGTGTATTTTACATCTCTGCAACCAGAAACAAATCACCATAGTAAACACTTTCTTGGAAAGTAAATATTACATAAAAACAAAACATAGCAGCTTGATATGACAATTCTATAAGTTGGTCCCAGAGTCCCACACTGCCATGCACAAACTGCACACTGCATGATGAAACTGTTGTACTGTACCTACATCTGGGAGGTCAGCTACAGCCTGTAAGTCATTCCAGATTCTCCTTGTAAGGCGCAGGACTTCCTCCAGATGATCACCTCCATGTGCAGCATGTCAGACTGCACATCTGTATATAGGCTACAGAAGTAACATGCTAACATTAGCTGTTTGCTAACTAAGTAAACAAGTCAATATGAAGTGTTAGGTATTTTTAGTCAGATAGATATTGGATAGATACTTTATGTATTAGAAATGTTTAGTGGAGATAGGATGTCTAGTTAGACTGTTAAATGCTTAGTCATGCTGATGAGTTTCTACAGGGTACATCTGGTCAAGGATAACTAGAGAGAAAAGCTGATGACTGTCAGCAGACAGGATGTTTAATATTATTATTATGATGTGTATAACTGTAGCCTTAGCCATAATATGTTCTTATGTTTAATATCACGACATGTTACTAGAGGTCATGTGAGAATGTTTTTAGCTACACACCACTTAATCAACAGACACACACACACACAGATTAATTTGCTTCATGTTTTGACCACTGCCATGGCCAGCTGCAAAGCTGGCAACAGAGACGTCTCGGTTGACGTTTCTGTGTAGAATGGGGCTAGCCCAACCGAAGGGATATAATGTATAGGTCTGGTGGGTTCAGGTTCTTTCATCTTACATCTGCCTGCGTGCAGTTTGTAGGTGCAAAATTCCTGAGCGTGTAATGTTAATTTTACCTGTGATCCTTTGAATAAATCAGCACTGTTTTGAAGTTACTTGGACTGTCTCGTCTCTCAGAGTTAGTTAGCAATGGTAACAAGAACCAAAGACCAACAGAAGCTTCTACTATGATATGTTCAGAAACACTATAATGTAGCTGTTTTCACAAAGTTGGATTGTTTATTTCTAAAACACATAACTAATAAAATGAGGGCGAGGTATGTGCTGAAATACTGCAAGTGTACAGTCATTGGAAAACATTTTTGTCCAGTGTGACTGGGCCAATATACAGGCCTATGCAACCCAGACACTAATACGTTTTAGTAACTCTCAAAGAATATTATCCCTCCTGTTTCAAGAGATCAAATTCATACAAACTCTACAAGTACTGGGTTACCACACACAGATAAGTCTGCAAACAGAGATGTTGGGTTTGCCCACAAAAATAAAGATTTGAGTCACTAAATAAGTTAACAGTGGAACAATGTTTTTTTTAAAAAAAAGGCCTAACCCCAAAAGCTAAAATACTATGGTTAAGAAGAAGTTACTCCCCACTCAATAAACACACTGCAGAACAGGAATAAGAAATGGTCAGAGTCATCAGGTTGGAAAGGCACCATTAAATAAACACCACAAGTCAATTAATCACAAAACAAACCAAATATAAGAGTGTCTTGGCTCTCTGTACATAAAACCATTCACATACTGTTCACACACCATAAAATTGACTAAACCCTACTTGGGAACAATACAATAAATAGAAAATATAATGCCAAGTAAACTTCTTAACATAAAAGCAGACAAAACCAAGCTAAGCAATGCAAAGCGTTACATAAGCAAAGCAAAGCAGCAGCGGCGGCGGCTATCACTCCTGCAATGAGTAAAACCACTGTTAACAGCGTAAAAAAACATCAAAACCAACAACACTACAGGTTACCTTGGCTGCACCTCACCCTAGCACAACATGTGCGATGGACGCCCAACTTCTGCAGGATCACGCTTACAATTATCACCCCTAGAGAACATGCGGTAATCCCCACAGTCTACAAACAAAACAAACTGATTAAGCACTTTACACCGCAGCAGATCCGATATACAGTCAGTCCGTTGGACATACCTTAAAGCGAAAGCAGGACTCAGATCAATGGAGCGAGATTCACTTCAAAACATTAAAGTTCAAACTGTTTATTTTGTCATATGCACAGTTAGGAAACGTGCTTCCCTGTACAATGACATTCTTACTTTGCTGTCCACATGAATGCCATAAAATACAAATGAAATATAAAGTAGATAAATAAATAACACATTACATTACAACAGCGACCAGCACAGGAATTGCTTATCGTAACAGCATCTCCACGGGTGGTATTCATATCCATAATCATCCCAGCAAATTACTCATCGGGCGGTATAGGCGTGGCCAACCCGCCGGTTACACCAGGTACGTATGTGAAGTACAATTTGCGTTTCCTTACTTGTGTATCTCTGTTCCGCGTTCACGAGACTTCTCTCAACAGGGAGGGGCTGCAGGAGGCCAGGCAGAAGCTCAGCGCAGAGGCCGCGGGAGGAGTCTGGACGTTGTACTCTTTCAAATTATCTACCCAAAATTCAAAGATACAGACCCCATATTAAACCAGGTGTTCCAGTATGTACAAGTGTAATTCTATCTTTCTATCTGTTTGAAATCACAGACTGTATGACCCAACAAATTATAAAAGGAATAAATTGTGATCATTTGAAACAGATGTAATGATGATGTCAGAATTAACTGGCCTAACCTGTAATAATTTAACTGAAGACGGATAACCTATCTTTTAAAATAAATAGCAATTCACAATCTCCAGATTATGTTTAACTATGTAACCTTTATGTTAATAAACGCAATTCCTCGAAAGAACAACAACTTCCAGATGCGGTTGTTTTGTTTGCTCTTGATAGCATAGTCGAATTTACAATGGTGTTAGCGTACGATTGACGTTACCAAAAGCCAATAACAATACTGAACTAAATCACTGAGTACGCCTTAACTGAATACTAACCAATGAACAAACAGATTGAACGGCATCTACGGCGAAAGCCTCGTCCGGTACAGATCTCAGAACAGCATTTGCCGTCACATCTCCATAAGCCAGTGTTATGTCGAAATAAACAAACAGTTTTCAAGTCAGCGCATTGTCAGGACACTTAATATGTTAAACAGAGGCTAAGTCTAGGCGTAACATTTTGAAAAGTCGTGTCCAGTAGACATGCACTGTAGTCGAAATGAGTTATAGCAGTTTTAGGTAACACATCACTGTTTCTAAAGTGGAATATAAAACTACTTTAAAAGTTTGTTCTCGAAGGAACCACTGGAGTACATTGAGACCGTCAAGAAACCATTCAGCCCGACTTTCGATGCAAAGTGAGTACCAATATTGCATTTGAGTCGGCTTGAAACGTATCTGCACAATCGTCAAGCCAGCTGTTAAGAGGCTCCAGTGGGAATCTTCGAAATGGACACAACGTTAGTCGAAAATGCCGTTTTGGTTTTGCGGGGAATACAGACGGCATAGCTACAATACAACGACGTAACAAAAGACAGTATTACAAGAAACGTGCTTGTGATACTCTGTGGCACATGAAGTGACGTTTACGTTGACCTACCAGTGAACCCAAATGCATGATAAAGTAGCTTACTCAGCTATGATTTAAATGTTTTTGGCCATTTAATAGAAAAAAATCTCTGTCTAAAACTGCACACCCAAATGTCAAATTATTCACTGTTATGACTTGTACTGCTTGTTTCAGTGAAACTTAAATTGACAACTTATGAAAGAATATTTCAGTGGGAAAGGGAATGCATCTTAGTGTAGGGATAAGATAAAGTTTTGTGATTTCAATGTTAAGCTGCTTTTGTAACAGGATAAAAAGCTACAGTGAACCCTCTAGTGAACACATAATTAAATGAAATCCTCCAGGCATGCTAAAACATACACAAGCTGTAATGACAACATTTCCTTGTGACACCACCCTCAACCTCCAGATCACCCACACCCTAAAGGCAGAGGCTCCTGCTGTCCAGCAAGTGCACTGTGTGATGAGGGACTACAGAGCTCCTGTGCCCTGCAAAGTCAAGTGTGGTGACACTAAGCTGACAGTGCCAGCCCACTGGGAGACTGGCCACCCTGCCAGTGTCCGTTACATCCCATCCCAACCACTTGGGTTTTCAGAGTTAAATTACTATATTATAATGACACAGGGCACTGTGCATTTTTGTTTAGCAAAATTCCAACCACATATGATGATTATTTTGCCATGATACAAATGAAGCTTTGTCATATGCTGTAGTTAGACCCTTGTGTATACCTTTACTGTAATGTAATAACTGATGTGGTAAAAATCCAGAGAGATAGAATGAGTGAACAGTAATTCTTGGAAATGCTACTACTTTGCATTCGATTGAGACAATTGACAATTACAGTCTGGATAATGTACACTTGGCTATCACTTACCAGGATAAGTGAAAAAAGTTCATTTAGATGTTAAGTGCCTTGTTTAATTATGGTTAAAGCATTTGCTGTATCTAATCATGTTGAGAAATCTCACTACTTGCTTACCAGGTACAAGGTCTGCATCATGTCCCATTCTTCATGAACACTTACAGTATTCTTGTTGATATCCTTAATACTGTATGATGTTGTGGCTATGATAAAAGAGAGATTGTAACAAGATGACCTTCATTCCCTGGTATTTGAATAGCACAGAGTTGAATCTCTGGAGGGCCGGTATTTCTCTCTGTAAACACTGAAACCTCAGTGGTATGTCTGTTTTGTTCAGCTCTTTTGCTCTCAATGGGAAAAACCCAGTTCATATATTGCCTAGATAAAGGGTTTGTGGCTTTTTTGAATTCCAAATGGGCAGAGAGAAATTCTTCATGAGATTTTGATTGTAAGAATTTTTGTCCAGTTCATTACTTTGGCTAATACAGTTGAGCCATGATCATGAAAAGTGTGTGGTGGCATTATTATTTCTCCGCCAAGAGAGGGGGTTATGTTTTTGTTAGTGTTTGTTGATTTGTTTGTGTGTTTGGTTGTTTAACAGCATAGATCAAGAAGTAATGAACTGATTGGATGAAATGTTTTGGAGAGGTACAGTATGGCCCATGGAACATCTGATTAGATTTTGGTGCTGTTCCATATCATATTTTGAATACAGAAATATTTTGCTGACTGTTTGTGAGCCCCCTTGTGGCCAAAGTGTGCGGCAGTGCTCCTGAGCACTTCAAACACATACAGAGATAAAGCCCTTGGATAATGACTGTCCATTCATTGTCAATGGAAGCCGAGTGCTGTCACTCAGTACACCACGGTGTGTGAGACAGGGACTGAAGTAGCCCAGTGAAGTGACGGCTCATAGCCAGGGAAAGATCTACTCTATGCAGCAACAGCCAGGTGAGAGCCAGATGGCAGAGTTTCAGTCCATACAGTGTCAAACTGTCTATACTGAAAATGTGTTAAATGAACTCCCAATACACAAAATAATTTCCATAAACAACTTTAAAATTTTTTTGCCTTCTCTCTCACAGAATCACCTATAAATTTCATTTAGTTTGATATCATTTCACTTACCATTTAAACTGCATGACTTGGGGATAATGGGCTTGGCTTGTCCAAACAAAGAGTTGAATCAATAGGCTGAGTGTAATTAAGGAGTTGAGCTTACACTAATATAATTATTTCTGTAAAATTTCTCCAACACTGAACATCATTTTACTCTGAATATTGTTAGAAATAACTCAATTCTTTTTTTGGAAGCTCAAGAAGTGAAGACAGGAGAGGACTGTTTAAAATCAACAGAAAGTTTACTCGAAGTCTGGGCACAGGTGAAGTCTTACAGTGCTGGGATCAGAGAGACAGAGCTCACACAGGAAATTTGTTCTCTGAACCACGAGTTACGTTTTCTCATTACATTTATCTTCTTAGGCTGGTCCGCCCTGGACAGAGGTACAACATTTCACACTTTTTATTTGGGATCACCAGGTCAACCCCTGCCTGTGTCTGCTTGCTGAAATGTGATCTAGACCAGGTGTGTGTGTGTGTGTGTGTTTCTCAGGCGGCAGCTTGATCAATGAACACTGAACAATGGGTGGTCTGGGCTGCAGGCCCCCCTGTGTGTGTGATGCTATTGCAGGACCTAGTGAGTATGCTAAACGGGCCAGGTGGTCATCTCAAGGTGTAGGCCCCCTGTCTCTGCAGGCCCCCCTATCCCATGACAAACCAGAACTTGGAATATGCTAAGCGGGTCTAGGTGAAGGTGCAAAACAGGCCAACAGGTCTTTGTTAAAATGTAAAATAGGCCGTCTGGTTACTCAAAGATACAGACATCCTGTCTACAGAATTTGCAGTATACAGTTCCAAAGTTTCACTCAGTAGAATATAGCAATCATCAATACAGTTTTAATATGTATAAGCAAGGGGAAAAAGGTATGAAAACTAACTAAAAGAAAATGAAGAACTGAAAAGTAACTAAAGGAAACTAAAATTATGAAAAATAACTAAAGCTTCAAAAGTAACTAGAGCCTATAAGAATCAAATCTTATAATATTTGTGAGTTGTAATCAGTTTGAAAATGTTTCAACACAAATTTTTGCTGTGTAGAATGGGATAGGGTGCAGTGGTTCAGATAAGGTCCAGCATACGAGGCTTCGTCCTGTGTTGGTTGTCTGAACAGGTGTCTCCAAGCTGCATCTCCTCATAGCTCACATTCCAGGCATTTTGTTCTTGGCATGGTGGATTGCAGAGGAGAGAAGGGAGGTGTGGGAACTAACTAAGGCTATGAACACAGGGCTCAACTCCCAGAATGAACTGAAGAAATGCACTGACTGAGACAAACGCTTCCTCAGTAGGTCAGTGCACTGCTCACAGTCAGGGACAAAACTGAGAGTTGGCTTCTATAACTGTGGGTAGGATATAGTGGTTTAAAACTCTTAATCCAAGTATGTTTTTGAATCACTATCAGCTCACAAGAAATTGAAGCAAATTAATGTTATTTTACTCCTGATCCTTAATTTTAATGCCTTTGTCTTCTTATTTGGCACCAAGAATCCTGCTTCCTACATATACTATATAACAAGGGATAAAGGAAGTAGACCTAATTTTTGGACAAGAATAAGGAATATGTAACTATTCTTGTCATTATGTTTTCTTTTCATTGTGGGCAAAAGTGAAACTTTTATTTTTGATTAGGGATGCCAATGATTGTTTATTGATTAATCAGCTCGCTGTTTTATATTTATATTGGAAATCGAAGCCTAATCATTGCCTTTCAATTTATTTTCTTTTTTTGTGTTTTTAGTTTCTCTTGTTTTGCTCTTATTTTGTATGTTGTTGGTCATGTATTTTATCTGCTGTTCTGTGAAGCGCTTTGGGCTCCTACCAAGTTGTAAAGTGCTATACAAATAAAGTATTATTATTATTATTATTATTAATCACAGTTAATAATTTGCGGTGCAGAATTGGAGGATGTGCAGTGTTGACTGGAGCCTGATCAGTTGTTACAGATAGCACTTCTGCAGCAAAAAATACCCTGAGGATTTGAGTGATTTTAAACACCTGAAAGGTGTATCTACATGAAAGTATGCTGAAGTACAATTTTCCTATTATTTTGAATGGGGGAAAATTTTCTAAATAATTCAAAGGTATAAGGTTTAGAAAAACCCTGAAGAGAAGCATGAATGTCCTGGGAGAGCTGAACATTTTGATACCTGAAATAGCTGAAATTGTGCTGAATTAGAATTTTCCCATTATTTTGAATGGGGCAAGATTGTCAAAATAAAGCTAAATATTTTACAAGTATGAAGTTTAAAATGACTGTCCTTGAAGAGCTGAACATTTTGATACCTGAATGGCTTTGCTAGCTGAAAGTATGCTGAACCTATTAATTGGAGAGGGAGAGGGGGAGAGAAACAGAGAGGGAGAAGGGGAGGGGGAGAGAGACAGAGAGAGCGAGAGGGGAAGGGGGAGAGAGACAGAGAGAGGAGTTATGTTGGGGCATGTCCCAATTGCGCTGCATGAACCACCAGATGGCACTCCAAGACTGTGTCATTGACTCAGCACATTGAGCTCCCATTGACTTGTATTGCAAAATAGAAAGCTGAATAGATAAAAAAGTATAAATGTTATAAAAAAGTTGAGTACAAGCAGGGATGTCCTTGAAGAGTTGAACAGATCAAGACCTTGACAGCATCCACACAATTACGGAAACATACTGAAAAAATGTAGAAGAAATCATCTGGATGTAGTTTTAGGTAGAAGATGTTTCACCTCTCATCCAAGGGGCTTCATCAGTTCTGTCTGACTGGTGGTGAGCATGGTATTTATCCCCCTGGGTGGTGTTTCAGTCCTTCAACGGCCAACAATGTCT